TTTTTCGATTTTTCGATTTTTCGATTTTTCGATTTTTCGATTTTTCGATTTTTCGATTTTTCGATTTTTCGATTTTTCGATTTTTCGATTTTTCGATTTTTCGATATTTCTATATTTCGATTTTTCGATTTTTCGATTTTTCGATTTTTCGATTTTTCGATTTTTCGATTTTTCGATTTTTCGATTTTTCGATTTTTCGATTTTTCGATTTTTCGATTTTTTGATTTTTCGATTTTTCGATATTTCTATATTTCGATTTTTCGATTTTTCGATTTTCGATTTTTCGATTTTTCGATTTTTCGATTTTTCGATTTTTCGATTTTTCGATTTTTCGATTTTTCGATTTTTCGATTTTTCGATTTTTTGATTTTTCGATTTTTCGATTTTTCGATTTTTCGATTTTTCGATTTTTCGATTTTTCGATTTTTCGATTTTTCGATTTTTCGATTTTTCGATTTTTCGATTTTTCGATTTTTCGATTTTTCGATTTTTCGATTTTTCGATTTTTCGATTTTTCGATTTTTCGATTTTTCGATTTTTCGATTTTTCGATTTTTCGATTTTTCGATTTTTCAAATTTTCGATTTTTCGATTTTTCGATTTTTCGATTTTTCGATTTTTCGATTTTTCGATTTTTCGATTTTTCGATTTTTCGATTTTTCGATTTTTCGATTTTTCGATTTTTCGATTTTTCGATTTTTCGATTTTTCGATTTTTCGATTTTTCGATTTTTCGATTTTTCGATTTTTCGATTTTTCGATTTTTCGATTTTTCGATTTTTCGATTTTTCGATTTTTCGATTTTTCGATTTTTCGATTTTTCGATTTTTCGATTTTTCGATTTTTCGATTTTTCGATTTTTCGATTTTTCGATTTTTCGATTTTTCGATTTTTCGATTTTCTGTTATTGAATAAATGAGAAGTTAATATTGTTTAACGCCGCACCGCTGTGCCGGTCGGAGTGGTTTTTTTTCGTTACGGTCGTTACGGAATTTCTTGATTCGGTTGCCGCACTCAAAGTCCGCGATAAAAGCTATGCAATAGCTTAAAAATAATAATCTTATTCACTGTTGTTCGTTTTTCTAGTTTATTTAATCTTAAGCACCTAAAATTGTACTGTGTATTATAATAGAATATATTAAATTAAATTAATAAATAAACTCTGGACTAGATTAGGAAATTAATTTGTAACAAACATCTAGTGTGATTATGTATTTATTGTACCTAATGTTAGTAAAATCTATTTTTGAAATAAATATTATTGTTTTATGCTTTTTTCTCTTACACTTATTCTTCCTCTGATCAATTATCTTTTCTGCTATCTAATTCTTCCTTTTCTTCAACGCAAATATCTTTTTATAGTTATTTTAACTTTAACTCATCAAAGCGTACAATATCTTTTCAACTTTTTTTATAACTATCTCCATGACTTTTCTCAAAACTCTATTTGACAATGTTTTCCATTAATCAAGAACAATCTCCGATATTTCGATTTTACATTTAATTTAGTGTTTTGGCAACTTCACCACTGTAGGATTTGTTGTTTCTACTTTCTATGCACAAACTCTCGCCATACTATCTTGGTGGTTGCTATTGAAGCCGCTTCTGATTGTCAATTATTTTTCTCGTAGTATTTTAGCTATTATAGTGTTTTACGTTTTGCATTGCTCTTCCTCTTCTTCTTTTAGTGTCTGTTCTAAATTCTCAGACTTGCTTAATCTTTCGTGAGTTACTCAATCTTTGTACAGCGTAACTGTATTTTCCCTATAAATTCTAAAATTGGTTCAATTTTTAATTAACACTTTTTTTAGGAGCACCAAATGTTAAACTCTCCAACAAGCGCCTGAGTATTGAAGGTGGCACTGATACCACAATAGAGGAATATCCATTCGTAGCTTCCGTTCAATCATGTGATTCAGGCGTTTGCAAACATGTTTGCGGTGCTGTAATCGTCAACGAAAATTGGATATTAACCAGTGCTATTTACGTAAAGTACGCTCAACAGGTTGTTGTTGGAGATTCTAACTTACAGGGAGAAGACAATGTTGCCGTTAAAGTTGCAGCTACATATGTTCATCCTGACTACACCCCAGGGTAAGTTATTTTAACTCTCTTTTAGAAAAATTATAAATGATTGTCCTGAAACGTTCATCCAAAATGTATGTAATAAAAAACCAATTTTTTTCCAGACTTGGTACATATGATATTGCTCTACTTCGGTTAGCTGAAGCACTGACCTTTAACGACAAAATACAACCAGCAAAATTGGCAACGCAAGGCCAAAAATTCGACGGTACAGCCGTTGTAGTTGGTTACGGTAGCACTAACCAACTTAAAGTTTCCCCTAATTTAACGCTTGTTTCTTACGATGGTAAGTATCTTTCAGCCTAAAAATAAGAATATTGAACATTTTACTTAATTATAGTAAATAAAATATACTATACATTCTCTTTTATTGTTTTAGAATGTAACGCAGTTATCCTAAAATATTTCACAACTAGTCCATTAGATGTCGACTGCAACGTATGTACCTTAAACGAAAAATCAAACAATTGCTTTGGTGACATTGGTGGTCCTCTGTCTCAAGACGGGACCGTAATCGGTACCGTTACATTTTTCTTTGACCCATGCGGTATCGATGGAACTCCAAATATATTTACCAAGGTTTCTAATTTTGCCAACTGGATCAACCAAACCATTACCGAAAATAGTCAAATTGTATAATTATTTAAAACAATAATGAATTTTATTACCTAATTCTTTTAAAATAATGTTATTTTGTTAATTACTTTTTTAAATCATGTGAAAAATGTAATGAAATATATCTGTGAATTTAGAACAAAAACTATTAAAAATTTAATTTGAAAAATATAGACTTTTTCGGAAACTTAATCGGATCAGAAAGATTATGGATCGATCCTATTGTTCGCCTACCTATGTTTACTAACCCTATGATTTTTAAAACTCATTATTTTTTAAATTATTGATAAACCTTTACAAATTTTCATTAAGGCCACTCTAAATACATTATCTCTATCATGTTCTAAAGAATATAATTTTAAAAAAGCTCATTTTCCCAGTTTATATCAAGATCTACTCACAATTGATTGGACCCACCAATATCAGTTCGGCAGCGTGGAAGAAGCAATTAAAATGTTTTACGAGAGACTCTATAATATCTTCGACTAAAACGTTTCTTTAAAGATACCACCGAAAAATCATTATCCTGACTCGTTTAACTCTGAAATAATTAAAAAAACTCAATTTGAAGTCTATAGCATGGAATAAATACAAAAAAAGTAAAAATCCTGAACACTACATCCAATTTAGTAACCTAAGAGCTAAAGTTAAGTATCTGTCTGATTCTGCATACAAAAACTATTTGAGGACCTCCACGGGTCGTTTGAACTCAACCTAACCTGAAAGTCCTTGCCCTTTTGATTTTGTTTGGCAAAACTGATCTCTGAGGTATGGATATATGGGAAAATACTCTTCCCAAATCGAACAACGAGCTATTTCAGTTTAGGCGGCATGTAAAAAATGGAATGCATGGATCAAATTTGTTGTTTTTACAGTGCTAGAAAAGATGTGTGTCTGCGGGTGTGCGAGGCTTCGTACTTCATATACTACACTACACAAGCCAATAAAAATACTTCCCAGACACACACATATACACACACATACAAGCACAGAACAGTCCCAACAAGGGAGCGCGCCCCACAGCACGGGTGCCGGAGTGATTTGTTTGCACGGCGCGCGCGCGCGCGCGCGTGTGTGTGTGTGTGTGTGTGTGTGTGTGTGTGTGTGTGTGTGTGTGTGTGTGTGTGTGTGTGTGTGTGTGTGTGTGTGTGTGTGTGTGTGTGTGTGTGTGTGTGTGTGTGTGTGTGTGTGTGTGTGTGTGTGTGTGTGTGTGTGTGTGTGTGTGTGTGTGTGTGTGTGTGTGTGTGTGTGTGTGTGTGTGTGTGTGTGTGTGTGTGTGTGTGTGTGTGTGTGTGTGTGTGTGTGTGTGTGTGTGTGTGTGTGTGTGTGTGTGTGTGTGTGTGTGTGTGTGTGTGTGTGTGTGTGTGTGTGTGTGTGTGTGTGTGTGTGTGTGTGTGTGTGTGTGTGTGTGTGTGTGTGTGTGTGTGTGTGTGTGTGTGTGTGTGTGTGTGTGTGTGTGTGTGTGTGTGTGTGTGTGTGTGTGTGTGTGTGTGTGTGTGTGTGTGTGTGTGTGTGTGTGTGTGTGTGTGTGTGTGTGTGTGTGTGTGTGTGTGTGTGTGTGTGTGTGTGTGTGTGTGTGTGTGTGTGTGTGTGTGTGTGTGTGTGTGTGTGTGTGTGTGTGTGTGTGTGTGTGTGTGTGTATGTGTGTGTGTGTGTGTATGTGTGTGTGTGTGTGTGTGTGTGTGTGTGTGTGTGTGTGTGTGTGTGTGTGTGTGTGTGTGTGTGTGTGTGTGTGTGTGTGTGTGTGTGTGTGTGTGTGTGTGTGTGTGTGTGTGTGTGTGTGTGTGTGTGTGTGTGTGTGTGTGTGTGTGTGTGTGTGTGTGTGTGTGTGTGTGTGTGTGTGTGTATCTATGCTCGCGTATTTGTATAGATCCATATGTGCGTGTATCTCGTTATAAATTCAATTCATTCCCTACAGTCGGTAAGACAGTTTTTTTCATGCACTCTTTTAACGCAACTCTCCGACCATATAGCGGAAGCTCGCATTCTTTTCTTAGGGTTTTTGTTAATGAAATTCTGTTATAATAATCGTTATTATGAAAAATATTCTTTATTCACCAGTTGGATTACCATGAAAGCAAAACCTTTATATATTATACATGATTACTATTATATTCAACAACCTCGAATTATAATCAGAGTGACTCTCAGAAACCTTATATTTATTCCATGTGGTTTTGAAATCGGAATGTACGGATTCCATAGCTTGTTCGCTATAAAATCCAAGACCTCTTTTAGAATTTTCACAGAAATTTTCGATGTGATAAAATACCACATGTACCTTTGGTGTGACTGATATACTCTAAGCTAAATAGCTCGATTTAAATTTCCTAATCGATTCTCTGTAAGAAGGGTTCAATTGAGTTCCGAAACATTCGTTAACGACCCTGTGAAAGTCCTTAAGAGTCTCTACATATTTTAAACAGCCCACGGTACAAATAGCCCGGAGAGAATCGACTTTATTCAACAATATTTTGCAAGAGTTTCCTTTGAATCCCGCGCCTCCGTGAGTTATTTCGCGTTGTACATTACAGAGTTTAGTCCACTCATGTGTTTCTTGTTGAAATTCACCCTGCATATGGTTCACTATCTTATTTACTGCACCGAGTATCAAATGAAGTTCTGGAGGGGGAATAATTTCAAGAACTCTAGTATTTTTATCGCCGGTAAAAACAGAAAGATTTACACAATTTTTGTAGTTTTTCGAATTTTTCATAATTGATCCCGCATTTCTCCAAGCTTCAAAATAATTAGTACAGTTTCCTATTGTGCGACGCAACCCGACGTTTTCCAAATTATTATTCTCAGAGAAACACCATGTACAAGGATATGAAGATGAATGGGACGTAATACCTAACAAAATATTAGCTAATTTAAGATCAGTCGCTATTGTACAGGAAAAATTATTTATATTCAAGATTTTCCAGATCTCTGAGACATTATCATAGTTCTCTTGTGCAGATTTCGCAATGCCGAGGATAAACAATTTCTTGACTCTTGTATCTTTGAAAGTCTGGGCACACACACCATCATTATATTTCTGACGTTTCAGTTCTTTTTGATCATTTCCATCTTGAAGAGCTTGTATAGATAGACAGACTTTTAGGAATCCGCCTCCACCATCTATCCCAAATTTTAAATGGTGATTGCCAATTTCTCGCTGTGTCTCAATATATTCAATTAAATTTTCAAGATTATTACAGTACACTAAGAGGTTTGTAACAAGTGTACTAATTTTTGATCTTGTTGTAAGAAAATCAAGTTTTTTGGTTGAAAAAAATGGAGATTTGTTATTGTAGCCGCTTTAGTACATTTATGAGCAGTGCCACGTTTCGATACCATGAAGCATTTTGAACAACGTTTCACACATTTTGGAGCAGATGATTTTCTGCCAGTCAAAAGTGGCTTCGTGATGTTCCATCTCGCAAGCTCACACAAATAACACTCACAGCGTTTCCCAGTCTGAGATCTTGTACTTAAAATTGGCTTCTGAAACTTTGAAAAATCTGGTAATGCAACGGTTTGAAGATTGGTCCTTCCGCCGTCTCTCTCCGATTTGTTCCGAGATATATTTCTCTTGCAAGCCGTGCAGACAACTTTCGGCAATCTTTCATTACTGAGCAAATTGGCAAGATAAAACTGGAGTAATGTTTCCAAATGTGATCTCAACAAACTGGCCACTTTGAACATCACGTTATTCTTCTTCAAGCATAAGAAACACACTTTACTTCGATGTTCTTCATGTGAAAGTGCATGAGTACTGTGAGAAGTCTTTGAGATTAAAGAAGCCATTTTGAAATATCGTAGCTCGGACCGTACTTATTTTTGACCAAAATTATTCGACATGTTCACAGTCACAAAGCTGGTTGTAAATAAGCAATATATACTTCGAATTTCGCTATTTTGATTTTGTATTCTGTCCCGCTCCTGCCCCCACAACGAGTCGAGCGTTAAAAAGTGTACGGAAAAAATTGTCTTACCGACTGTAGAGAATGATTTGAATTTATAACGAGATACGCTGTTTAGCGTACCCGTAGGCGACATAGGCGGCCGTGCTGTGGGATTGTTCTGTGGCTGTATGTGTGTGTGTGTGGGGAGTATTTTTACTGGCTTGTGTAGTGTTTCCGGGTGTCCGTGTACTCATATAGGGAGTACGAAGCCTCGCACATCCGCACACACACACATCTTTTTCACACATTGTAAAAACAACAAATTTGATCCATACATTCCATTTTTCAAATGCCGCTTAAACTAAAATAGCTTGTTGTTCGATTTAGGAAAAGTATTTTTCCATATATCCATACCTCAGAGATCAGTTTTGCCAAAAAAAATCAGAAGGGCAAGGACTTTCAGGTTAGGTTGAGTTCAAACGACCCGTGCCTCCGAACCAAACATTAAAACAAATCCCAATCAGTTTTGGTCATTTATTAACTCATCTTTAATTCCAGCTAATGGGGTCTATTCTGTAATAATTCCTTTATATTTAACGGCCTTTAAAAATATTGGCGGCCTTTAAAATATTTTCGTATTCGTTAATTTACTTCTGTCATTACTTAAACAGATTTCTTTAAGATAGTTCTTTAATGTATTTTAAAGATCCGTTTAAATAGTGACAGAAGTAAAGAAGAAAATATTTTTAAAGGCCGTTAAATATAAAGGAATTGTTACAGAATAGACCCCATTATGTCGTATAACAATGTAAACTCGGAAAATGTCCAGGACATAGTTGAACACTTTGCCAGCTTTTTCGCTGGAAATTATATTGAGTCAGGACCATACACTGCCTCCAACGTTAAATCTTGCTCAAATCTGGAAACTACGCCCTTTTTTATAGAAAACGAAGTTCTGATTGCCCTAAAAAAATGAAGTCAAAACAACTACCCTAATTAAAGACTGTACTTAAATTTTTTTAAACCTTTACATATCTTCAACTTAATGTTATCATCAGGTACGTTCCCAATTATCTGGAAGATTTCTCGAATATGCCCTGTTTTTAAAAAAGGTAATCGTAACGAAATATGCAATTATAGGCCTATTACTATTCTGTGCAAATTCTCAAAAACATTTGAGATTATTTATTTTGCAAGCTATGTAATGTTATTATACCTGAACAACATGGATCCATCAGAGGACGTTCTACTATAACAAATCTCATTTGTTTTACACAGTTCTTGTGTGAAGCACTTGACAAAAAGAATTAGGTAGACATAATCTATACTGATTTTCCAAAGCCTTTGATTGGTTGGATCATGGCATACTACTAACAAAACTTCACCAGGTCGGAATGTCTGAACAACTAATAACTATCATAAAATCCTATATATCTGGACGCACCCAATTTTTTTAATGTCTGGGTCTCAAATCACGTGTATTTTCTCAAACTTCCGGAGTTCCTCAATGCTCTATTCTGGGTCCTCTTCTCTTCAACATTTTTGTTAACGATATCGTAACTAATATTGATGTAAAATATCGTTGCCCATTTTACAAAAGGGCATAACTCATTTTTTGCAACTTTTCAGGAGAGCGATTTTAAGATTTTAAAAATGAGGTGGTCTCATTTAATTAATCATAGTATGGAAATGCAACTCCCGGTTTACTTGTTTTTTTAAGCAAGTGTATCTAAAGAATGTAATTTGTATTGCCTTATGCTATTTATGAGTTATTGTTAGCAGTTACCTAGAAAATCAGGTTTTCTTGAGATATGCCCTTTTGAGACAAGAATTTTCCAAAAAATCATTGAGTTAGGTCCGACGCCATGCAATATTAAAACACAATACAAATTGATTTTAATGCATTTTTTGTAAACAAACATGATATATTTTGATTTTTGTTTTTGTAACATTATTGAGGTATATAAATGGCATTAAGACATATTTCTTTTTAAACAAAATAATTTTTATTAAAAAATGTGAAGCTCATAAGCTATTACAAAAAAAAACTTAAAAACAAAGATTCTTTTATGTTACTAGCTGACCCGCTTCGCTGGAATTTCTCTAATCTCAATTATTAAAAGTGAATAACAGTTTTTGTTACTCGTGAGAAATTTTTTCATGAAATACTTGAAAAAAAATTATTAATTTAATTTTTATTGGTTTTTATTAGTTTTATTAATTTTTCTTAATTTTTATTAATTTTTATTAATTTTTATTAATTTTTATTAATTTTTATTAATTTTTATTAATTTTTATTAATTTTTATTAATTTTTATTAATTTTTATTAATTTTTATTAATTTTTATTAATTTTTATTAATTTTTAATAATTTTTATTAATTTTTATTAATTTTTATTAATTTTTATTAATTTTTATTAATTTTTATTAATTTTTAATAATTTTTAATAATTTTTAATAATTTTTATTAATTTTTATTAATTTTTATTAATTTTTATTAATTTTTATTAATTTTTATTAATTTTTATTAATTTTTATTAATTTTTATTAATTTTTATTAATTTTTATTAATTTTTATTAATTTTTATTAATTTTTATTAATTTTTATTAATTTTAATTAATTTTTATTAATTTTTATTAATTTTTATTAATTTTTATTAATTTTTATTAATTTTTATTAATTTTTATTAATTTTTATTAATTTTTATTAATTTTTATTAATTTTTATTAATTTTTATTAATTTTTATTAATTTTTATTAATTTTTATTAATTTTTATTAATTTTTATTAATTTTTATTAATTTTTATTAATTTTTATTAATTTTTATTAATTTTTATTAATTTTTATTAATTTTTATTAATTTTTATTAATTTTTATTAATTTTTATTAATTTTTATTAATTTTTATTAATTTTTATTAATTTTTATTAATTTTTATTAATTTTTATTAATTTTTATTAATTTTTATTAATTTTTTATTAATTTTTT